TCAGCAAACAATTTTTTTAAGTATTGAAATTTTACAATGCTTGAATGTTGAATTGAAGCTTGTGAATGCTTTTGCACATTTAACATATTATTATTAAAATTAGTCTATTTTTAACGTCACACTGACGTTTACTCAGTTTATTATTTTTATTTCTGTCATGATCTTTTACACTGCAAGAAATTTCTGTAACTTTTTTATGCAGAAAATGTTGGTGCGATTCTATTTTCCGTAAAGATCTACTTTCTTGAAATCCGAAGTATTTCAATTTGTAATTAATTTTATTTGCAAGAAATCTCTTCAAAAATTCTCAAGAATCATAGAATTCAAGAAGACAAAAAGTTATTAAAAAGTATTGTTCTAATAGGCCAAAAAACAAAAGGAATCATAAATAAGTCATGCGAAATACAATAATTCGTTTGTTCTACATTTATACGTTCATTTAGTATAATAGATAGTGTCAACTCCGAGCATCGGCGACACAAACAGGGGAATTTCCCCAGCTGAATTGTAATCACAAACAACAACTAAATAATCCACTATACTGATCGAATAGGTTGTCCAAAATGCTGAAGGAGGGATGGTGATAAAAATATGCTATTGTATTTGTTTAATGAAAGTAGTTTGCCCTTTTCAATGAAATCACTTTTAAGAATGGAAGAACAATACTGAATTAAATTCTCAGTTCAGTGTTTCAGAAATACAGGGTTAAAAATTCCAGAAATGCAATGAAGATTCTTTCACTTTTCGTTACGCCCTCCCCTTTTCTCTTGCTGCATACAAATAGCGAACATTTTTAGCATTTGCAAATAGTTTAGCCATAGGTGATACATTTGTGCTATAGAATCTTCTTCCGGCTATCCTATCAGTTACAACATCTTCCACATCGAAACCGAGACTTCATAGTCATGACAAAATCTTAGAACAGAGCAAACATAACATCGATAGGGAGATAGATACATCAAAAATGGATCTCATTTTTGAATATTCTTTCCACATTCTTACGTTATCTGCTTCAAATTTTTCTACGACGTAGTACAGATAATATAGCATTCGATTGCAACTTCCAATACTTGCTTTTTAAAGTAGTTACTGCTTTTGCTGTGTGTCATTTCATTTCAGGAGAGGTACGTCTAAAAAACATAGGCCCAGAGCAAAAAAACATTGGAGACAAATAATTAAAACAATACATTTTTATATAATTACTTAATTTGCAGTTTCATAAATAGCTTTTAAAAATACAGTACTGTATCAATAAGAAAAATTTGACTGGATTCCAGGGAAGCAAGAATCCTATTCCCTCATCTACGTGGACATCCATGCTTCGTGAATTGTAGTCGAAACTTATGCCACCGTTCGCCAATGCATTCTCATCTCACCTTATGATACAGGTTTTGTTTACTATTTTATTGCACTTTTACTCTGCTTTTTCTTTTAAGCCAGAAAGTAACTTCGAGGCCCCTCTAAAGTCAGGACGTCGCATGATAGCTACTTATGAACCCTATGAATTTGCCTCTATATGCATTACTTTCATCTGATTCGCCGTCTAGTAGGGAGTTAGGTACAATTTTCTTTTATTTTAGTTGCTGATATATGTAACAGAACCTACTGAAATTGCTTTTCACCGGCTTTAAAGAGTTTTATTTATTTATTTATTATTTTTATTTATTTTTTTTTAAGCTCACGTTTTTGTTGATTTTGGATTTCTTAAAAATTCAAGCAAATTAAACAATATCTCTAGAAATGAGAAATTAGAACTGTTGCTTTTATATCGAGAAATAAGAAAAATGGAAAAAAAAAGTAAATAATTCTCTGTCAGTTACAAAATACCCGACATTAGAAACATTTCCATTAGTGATAATAAGGATACTGTTCTCTGCTTTTGTTCGTTTTATTTATGTATTCAACTTTTTATGTTTTGCCCCATGTTGTACATCTGTGGCGCATTTTAGTTTATATGTTTTCAAATAAAAAAAATATATATACTGTTAAAATGCTTCAAAAGAATAAAGTAAAGTTAAATTTAAAGCTTTTTACGAAAAGAGATTTTTTTTTAAACTTTAAATACTGTTAAAATATTTACTTTTAAACAGAAAAATCTTGTACCCTTATTTTTAATATATGGCCGTTAGAAACAACTATAACTAGTGACAAAATGTCTGCTAATGGTTTTAAACTATTTATTAGGCTTACTTTGATGCTGACTATTTTAATTTATAACAGTTATGTAAATTGTTGAAAAATAAAATTAAGACCTCAAATAATCAGAAGTGCGATAATTATTAGCTTTAAATCAATCGGGTTTTTAAGCAATAACATAGATTGATTAAATTTGAAAGGTAATTTCCATATATTAGTTCTTCTCATATGGCAGCATTTAAAGAACTGATTATTTGCTATACGGCATACTATTCAAATATTCTTGCGAATTTTAATTTCGATTTTTGTAACCCTCAAGGAATTGGTTCCCAGGGTTCTGTGGAATAGAAACCATTGCTTAAAATGGACACACTTTTTCTATAAACAAATACTAAAGAAAGAATTTATGGAAATAAATGCTTTTAATGTAATAAATTACATATATTACATCTCTGCCAAAACCCATGGTGCATTTTTATTAAACAACTAAAAGATCTATAAGCTTTAAGCAGTATGCTATAATTACCGCACGCGCTTAAATATTTCCTGTTCTAAATAATATACGTAACATCTCTCGTAACCACTCAGCTGCATTGCAATGTGGTGGTAGGAGGCCAGACGAGGATTCCGAACACGATGTGACCTCTCAGACATGATTTACAGTAACGAAGTGATTTATTACAGTTAATTGTGCGAGATGTTTTTATATTCCTCCCATACGCATCAGTGCGGATAATAAGAAAAATGAGCTCCAGAGGACTGGATGGTCAACGTTTTTCGAGCGTTATTAAGAGCAGGCTAGTTCAGAGTACTGGATGTTCCTGTTCGCTAAACGAGTCTGTTCATGATTTTTGTTATTCTGTCAAGTGTTTGATGCATAGCAAAACTTAAAATAATGGGGATTATAGCGTATCTAGGTATCTAAAAAACAAAGATTACTCTATTGCTTTTTAGACCTAAACATCCCAAGTTGAGTCTTGATTATTTTCAACCCCATGCATTCTTACTGTATGATACTATTATTATCAGCCATGCGACTTGGCAAGTACCACCGTTACAAAAAATGTAAGATCTTTAATTTTGTTCTCAGCGCGGCCTCCTAAACAGCCAGTTATCAGAATTTCTCACAAGGCAAAACTTAAAGCTTTATTTTCAAACTGAATCACTCTAAAGTAACCTTAATTAACATGTTATTTTTATGTTCCCCCAGTGAGTGCTTTATTTCTAGTTCTTCCAGCAACTTCACCAGAAATATATAGTTACTTAAAACCCATATAAATTACCTTTCTACCAAAGCTGAACGAAAAAGATTAAACATACGAAACAGACCTAACGCAAAAATAACGTTTTCGTTAAAATAAACTTCAGCACATTATTGATTAACATTCTGACCATTCTGAAAACAATAAATATTCTTCTTAGTAACTTAAATGTGCATTTATTCCTTATAATAATATATCTAATTATATAAATTAAAATATATTTAATTTATATGGATATTTACAGCACTTTTAATTATTAAATGATATTTCTAACGCCTCGTATTAAGCATCGTTTGATTCAGACCCACCAATGACCGAGGGGTAAAACCACAGAACACTGGTTATTCAACTCGAGTTAAAAATCTGGGCTGCTCGTAGAAGCGTCTTCGAGTTTTCCAGTGTGTCACGTGAATAGAAGCTAGAAAATATTTCAGGAAGACATTTTTTTTCCCTTAGCCAGATAGACTTAGTATACTTTATATTAATAAAAATATCCCAACCGTTTGGTTTGCTTCTTTCTATTCTGCATGGTCTGTCAGACAAGTGAGGAAATTTGGTTTTTGATTTATAAAATATCTTATTTGAAGAGTAGAAAACATTTATATATTTTTATAGTACTGTTCTGTTACCAGGGACGGATTCAGAAGTGTAAGAATGCATGCGCGTGTGCATGTATGTATGTGCATATATGTGTATATGTATACACACACATGCATTCGTGTTAACATATACATGCATATACGAACACATACATCATTACATACATTTCTGGATCCGGTCCTGATAACATAACAGTACCATTTTTATTCCTATGTAATAAGATATTTTTCCCCAAATAAAATTAAGCTGTAAAATTACTTTTTCTCATACTTAATCTATGAAATTTTGCAAAATAAAATAGAAGAACAAGGAGAAATTTTACCTCTGTATGATCTCTGAGCAAAACTTAACGCAGAAATTTACGCTTTGTATTTTCGCAAAAATTTAAAAAAAAAAAAAAAAAAAAAAAAAAAAAAAAAAATGTTTTAATTTATTTATTTACTTAACAGCGAAGTACGCCGTAATTCTGATTACAAAAGTACATAGTATATTAGTGTGATAAATAAGCCATAATAGTGTTCATATAGACTACTGTATATAATGATCACATAGTGTCCCACATAGAATGATAAAAGTTGTAAAGCAATTTATGTATTTCTTCATAATTTCTGTCTTTTCAATAATATAGCTGCTTGATATAATTTATAAATCATGTAAGCCAATTTCTCTCAGAAAGTGCGTCACGAAAGTAGTTATTTTAAATAGATGGCCCTGGTGGGCTTTGATGCAACCAAATAAATAAGTAGCTCTAAGTCACGTAACTACTATTTATTGTTTCATACTGTTACATGAGCGTATTTTATAAATATATTTATAATGCCATATGCCTATTTAATGGCAGCATGACAATTTTTTATTTCAAGGAGGAAAATGCTAATAATTTAGTCAACGGTCTATACATTTAAACCTAACTAAGATTGGTCTATAATTCCTTGCAGATACTAGTATGACCACTCCTGTTCGTCTAAAATTCGAAAATCATTACAGCAAGAATTTTATTACCTGTTATGCACTGGTTCTCCAAGTACTCAGCTCGATGTAGCGATCGTCGGAAAGCCTCGGGAGCCGTCCTGCGGTCGTGTCGGCTGAGAACACACGTTCTGTTGAGCTGATCGTACCGCGCGGACCTGCAGACGAAACTCTCCTCGACACTACACCTTTCCAGGCAGTCGTCCCGGGATTCGATGTTTGATAGAGGCTTGTCATCATAACCGAATAACTGTACACCTGGAATTCGATCAAAAGCCCACTGTCTATGGCACGGTTTTCCTAGTAAAAAGAAAAAAATTGGAAATGTCAGACAATTCTCTGGAGCTGTTAAATTCCTCGAAGAGACCTTATTATTTTCAAGTAGAGATAAAATAATATGGGTTACGAATGAAAGGAAAAAGAAATTACAGAACGCAGTTGCCATTTGAGGACGCATATGATTTATCTTCGATATTATTAAGTCGTCTGCGTTTTTCATAAGAAAGTATATTTTAAAAAATTATTTTTCTTCGAATTGAAGTGAAATAACACTTGCTGATCTCATTTTAATGCAAAAATACTACCCAATTTCTTTTAGAAAATACAAACGTTCTCCACGAAGGTAACTCTGTCCTCAAAGAGCTCTCATGATGTGCTTTGCCATAATTTGCGGAATAATTTGTAAAACTCGTAATTTTACTCAGAAGCCCGTAGTATTCAATAAAGCCACCTCTGTAAAATATTTTCACCATCCACGAAGAATTTAAATATACATGTGCTTTTAATGCATATTGACATAAATAATAAAAATGGAATATAAATTTGTCAGAATTGGCAAGCTATCCAGCATGAAGAGAGCACAAATCTAACAACATGAAATAGCAAGTTGGAAATCAATCCTGAAACAGAATGTAAATTGAAACAACGAAAAAAAAAAAAAAAAAAAAAAAGGTTTTTAGATTTTAACGGTGGCCCAGAAGGGTATGTTGAGGTCTTTTACGCTCTCGCTGGACACCCAGTCTACCACTCTGCTATTACACTCACTCCTACTAAGCCTTTCTTTTTTTTTGTCTTGTTAGCTTTATTATTAAACATCATTTTCTTTGCGTTTACACCATTTAGAATTCAACGGCAAAATTACAAAAATTTTAACAGCAGCATAGCATGGTTAGAATTCCCGATGCAGCATACATTTTTCATACATTTTTCTGTTTTTATTCAGTCTTTTCTCAGTTTATCATATCGATGTTCAGTTTTTCTTACTAAGATACCTGTAGAATACTTTTTTTTTGTCTTTTTTATAATTAACGTTTTGTGTGTTTACTTTATTTATTAAATGTCACATTTTTGGCGCTTATGCTGTATAAAACACGATTCATCAGCAAAATCACAAAGTATTTAAAAGCAGCATATTTTTAGAATTTCCGTTAGACTGCCTCGCGCATGGGAAATAAAAAAAAAAAAATGTTTTATTCTGTAGAGTATTGCTAGAGCTCGCTTTGAAATTTCTTAGTTTTTAATCAAAAATTCATTAAAGTTTTACAAAATATGAAACATAAAATTCGAAATTCAAAATTCGGGATTCCAGGTGCCTATGTTCGGTTAGAAGGCTATGTTATTCTAAAGCGGAAAATATACATATATATGCAGATTCTTCATTATTCAATTTCTTTAAATATAATACAGGACGGTAATATTTGGTGGAAACAATTTGAAAAGTCATACAGCGCATTTAAGAATTTTGTGAAAAATGCCATTACCAGATTAATATCCCATTCGGGATTAATGTTGTCACTTTTGGGCTAAAAACAAAATTTGAAAATTGTTGTTTGTCTTTGTCAACAGCAGCCAAGATAATAACGAACATAGTGACGTTTCTGACTTGTTCAACAAATAATTAAACTAAAAACTCTTAGCCCAAAGGGCGCTAGCCCAGAAGGGCTAATAATTTTGTTTTGCCTTTTTGCGTCGGAAGCTTTAAATGTCCGTTTCACTTTTCAAATTGTTGCCACCAAATATTATCGCCGTGTTATATTTAACGATATTAAATAATGAAGAATCTGCATAAATGTATGTATGTTTCTCTCACTGGGATAAAACAACGGTAACTAGAGCCATCGAATTTTGAATAACGTAATCCTCTATCAAATACGGGCATCCGGAAGCCCTAATTTGGAATTTGTTTTAGTATTGATTTCCTATTTTGCACCATTTTAACGAAATTTTGATTAACAACCTCAACGATTTTAATGCGAGCAATGGCAACACTGTACGGGGGAAATAAAAATATCTTCAACGCGCGAGACTGTGTATCGGAAATTCTAAACTTATGATCATTTTAAAATTTTTTTAGGATATCGCTGTTGAATTCAATTTTATGGTTTAAGTGTGAAGAAAGTGATATTTAATAAATAAAGGTAACACACAAAATGTTAAAAAAACGGTTTTTTAATCATTTTTAAAAGGCATTTTTAATCATTTTTAAAAAGGCATTTTTAATATCAGCAAATGATTTGTATAGATGTTAATAGAAAGAAAATACATTTTGCTTTACTAGTTACGAATTGCAGTACGGATGCAAAATAAAAAAGTCTATTTGGTGAAAAATACGCTTAAAAATACCTACACGTAAATTTTAATAAGTCATAATTAACCTTTTTTCAAAAAATTATATAAATTTATTTAAAATTTCAATTTTTCTTAATATATATATGATCAAATGTTCAAATTTTGTAACTTTTTGGGATAGATTAAGCCAAAATGACATGCACGAAAAAACAAGGAAATGCAAAAGTGATATTATCAAATCTAACCTAAAATTCAATTTATATCAAGGACGAAAAATTTTTAGGACTACTTTTAAAAATCTATGAGTGAGATTATCATAAAAGTGGTATTTTGCAGTAAAATAAGCGAATAACTCAAATAACGAAATAAATTCGGAAAATCACATTTTAGGAAAGATCGGAATTTTGTGTTAAAATTAGTATGCCAGAGCAGTGATATAGATAATAATAAGTCGCGCTTTCAAGGCAAAGAAAATGGGAATTGATAATTGTGGGCGAACAACATGTATTCCGTTCCATTCTCTTCCCCCATACACACCTTTACGCAACATCACTGGGTATTCGTATGTAACAGAAAAAGACTTTTATCCTGGCGCATTAACTAGACTAGTAGTCTCAACCTGGCGGCCCGTAGGACGCATGCGACCTCCGAAGGAACGAAAAGTTAACGAGAATAAGGCGTCAGAAAATATATTAATTGAGCTAATTCATTTAAAGCGTGATATAAGTCTTATTCCAAGACCTGAAGATAGAGATTTTATTAACCTTTATTCGAACTCGTCAATAAAGAAAGAAAGAAAAAAAAAAAAAAACATGCTCAATAACGAATTTTTTGCCTCAAGAATAATCGTTTTGTTTGAGAATATATTTATATGTGAAGAGCATTTTCTCACAGTCCAAAATTAATCAGAAAAGAATCCGATTGACTGATGAGCTTCTATAAATCGTTATGAAGATAATTTTTAGTCATTGCTTTCCAGCGCACGCACATTAGACAAATTTTGTATTTATATACAAAATTTATATACAAATTTATATACAAAATTTATAACTATTTAAGAACAAGCACGTGTATTTTAATTTGTGTGTCGGAGAATTCGTAAGTAACAAAAGGAGTAATAAAATGTAATAATTATTTTAATTAATGGTCAGTCTGTAGATTTATTATTCAATTCTCAATATATTTGAATTACAAATTGTAACCAACGAAAACATCTTGCATGTACCAAACTTTAGAATTAGGAAAGAAAATAAAAATAAATCTGAATTTTTTCCTTTGCGCTTTGTATTAATGTCTGTTCTGATAAATATTTTGAAAGCGAAGTTTAAAATTCAATTTTTTTTATTATTTTGTCGAACAAAATTTTCATGGTTCTAAAAGAAAGCATACTGGCCGGTCGGCTGTTTTCAGATTTTGTACTCGGTCCACATACAATCTGAATTTGAGACCACTGACTTAGACAATAATTTTAGAGTTATTTCCTTTTCTTAGATTTTCAAAATAATATTGCATTCTGTCATATTTCTTAAAACCATCGAATTAAATAAATGTATTAGTAAAACTAAATTTTCTCCATTATTTATAACTATACAATAAACTGGGAGAATTAGGAAACCACATCTTCTAGTTCAATTATCGTCTGAATGGATGTCGCTCGAAGCAAAGCGATAGGTCAAGAAGTACATTCTATAGAACGCATTTCCCACTCAAAGACAAATCCGTCGTTCCATTTACTTCCATTAGGAACAAGTCAAACACAAACACTCTCTCGAATCCCGGAAAACAAACATCCCTTCTGGAGATTTTCCGGACCGACCGTCTGCAAGGGAAGGCAGATGAAGAAAATGTCAGACGAAAAGCCACCCCTTTTTGACGTAATAGAATTTGCTCTACTAAGTGACCATAAATGCTTTTTTCTTTCAATAAGGAATTGTATAATATTTATTTAATATTCATGCTGTATACATAATGCAACATGTGCGTGTATGATTTACAGTTGTTTCGGGGTCAGGTTTTTTTACAACCAAAAACATCAAAAAAAAATCTTATATACATAACGCATATATATACACTGCATACTTTATTTATAACTACTCATAAAAGGCAACGGTTCTGTACGAGGTATGCGATGTATGGCATTGGAAACATATTTTTAAAGTTAACAATAACATGTTTGCAAAAATCATTAGTTGGAACATAGTATAAATTCAGTGCATTTAGTTCATATGTTTTCAGTACACACTGTTGTTTATAAGCAACAAACATAAAAAATATCAGCGTATTCAGCGAAAGAACCATTATATAGTCACAAAAATTTACACGCGTTACAAACGCATTCCCGTGATGGGCGCATTCAAATTAGCCCGCATCGCCGTGTTGATGAATACACAGGTCACTGGTATGGGTGATGAGGTAAATTTAGGTATATTTTTAAAATAAAATTCGAAATTTGCACTGAATAAACTAACCTCCTAAACATATCTTTCTGTGGTAACTCCAAGCACTGCTGTGCTCCAAGGGACCTTTGAAAGGTAAGACTTGAGACTCCCCTCTCAGTAAGACGCACTTTTGGTCTTCGTGGTCGATGAAGTAACCTTCACAGAGGTCACTTTCTAGACATTTTCTGTAGCAGGCCGTTGGAGATGTCTTAGTCAAGAATTCGAGAGGACCCAGTCTGTCGAGTTCTTTGTTTGGTAGCTGGAGGCCAGGAGTCCGTTCAAAAGTCACTCGACCATGAGTACAGTTCCGGGATAAGGATTCTGGAAAATAGGGTAAGAATTATAAGCATGAAACTTTTAATTTTGTTATATTATTATATTACAACTATTCATTTTGTTTCTCAAATTCGAAAAATTTCGTGGCAGATAAAATCTGTTATATCTAGATCAAATCAGCGAAGGAGATTTAATAACGAGAAATTAATGGTTAGATTACGCAAAACACACAAGGGCTATCTGTGTAAGGAGAATATACTTTCGTGAAGGATTTTCTAAGCGAAATCGGCTCGTATTCAAGTTATTCATGGAGAATTACCCAAAAGCCACCCCGCAGTCAATCCATTCGCCCAGTCGAACTTCCAGTATTCAACGGTCTTAAAGACTCAACCACTATTGGGGCTTTCAGGGTAAAGAAGGTTTAGATATTTACAGATGTGTAATAACAATCGAAATAATATGTGTGCGTCTGAGGAATAATTTCATTCCCCTGTGCGTGCTGCCTTAATTTAAAGTATGACATAAATTATTATACTGTAAATTTATACATTTTTATCAGTAATATTCTATTCGGCAGAACAAAGATGTATGTATAGTTTAATTTCAGGTAATGTAATGAACTGAAATGTATATAGTAATTAGAGAATAACATAACCAAAATTTAAAGTTATATGAATAACGGAAAGAATGTTCACGGACGAATGAAATGCTCGAAGTAAACGAAACTATTTATCTGTGCAAACTTTGACAGTTCTATATGCTATGTAATGTACTGCTATATTTATACTGTATGGTATATAATGCATTGATATACCAATAAACGCAGAGTGCATGGCTGAGACCGGCAGTACGGATGTATGGCCCAGTTGGAGAAAGGTGAGAACACTCACACGCTGTGTGGTGGATTCTTCGCGGAGCCAGTTCCCGAGGTATGTCCCCTGGTGGATTTTGCTCTAGTACAGTAGTGTGACGGAGCAATACCTGTTAATACATAGGCAGTTTTGGTGTTCTTATATAGCAGTTTTGGTGTTCCGTCCACCTTTTTCCTGTCCCCGTCCTAGTGTAAATGATCAAAAGCCAAATTAATAATTCAAAAATCTTTGGTACTAATCCTGATGAAGACACTATTGATTTCGCACGTTTACCAGATCTAGAAAAGACTATAAAAGCAATCAACTAATGGCACCTAAAATAAAATATGAAGGATGATAATTTTTCATTATCTGGATCTGGATGACTGGGTCTCGTGCTGTTCCAAGATAAACATCAATAAGAACTGAATATAAGTAGTAGTTCCCTGACACTTGCTTACCTGGTGTAATTAGTTGTGAGCATCTGAGAATGGGCATATGCATGTCGATGCTCTTTCGTCCACCCCTCCTCTACAAAATGTGATGCAGAATTTTAACTGATGTTGAAATGATTTTTCTACATAACCGAACTAATCGTTGTAGAATTCAATCTTTAACATAGGATAAATCGAAAATAAGGCTCTACATAAAGTTTATTTAGGATAAGTTTGCGGCTTTTAAAAATATGGTGCAATTTAAAAACGATTTTTGTACTTTTTATTCACGGATAATGGCTAATCCCCAGTATTTTTAAATCCCATTATCGAAAAAGGTACAATTCTATAATAATGTTGCTTGCGTACGAGTTCGTAACAGATCGAATGCACACAGAACCGATGATTATTTGATAAAATTTATTTTTATCTAAAGAAACTAGAACTTTCCACAAAATGTATTATAACTGAAATATACCGTATTATAACTATAATTATTCCTATACGGCTCTTCTCGATATCACAGACCACAATCAGTAGTTATACTCCAAACTACAAAGAACGTTACACACAATACAGTGCAAGACGCATCTAAAAGGCGAAGTTCACACGGATATCTTTTAATACTCCGAAGTTGCTCTGAACTAAACAACTCAAAAACTAACGCTCTTCCCGGTCTTATATAGCAGTTTTCTTCCAGACACTGTGAAATTTCTAGTACCTTCGAAATTACTGGAAGGCATACGAGGTCCTAATACGGTTACATATAGTGATCAATTACAGTTATTCAATTACAATACTAATGACAGTTATACAGGAACCGGAACCAAATATCACCAAATGGTCTCGAAGTTTACAGACTTTTAGAGATTTCTCGCGAAATTGGGTCACAAAAATAAGTTGCCAAAACCATCGCCAGCTTGGCGGTATCTCGCAATTTAGAAAGACAACCATTTACCTTGATAAATAGACTTGCTCATGTAAATTAATTTTTTTCGATACAGCTTCGTTGCTTTCTTCACTCATCTTTCTTCAACAAGAGATGCTATGTACGCTATATATAGCATCTCTTGTTGAGTTGTTACATAATGGGATTTTCTAATAAATGTATCATTACTGTTTACCCGCGCTTGCTTCTGTGGATTTCTCCTTATTCTATGTGTCTTGAGGGTTTTTATTTTTTTTCCATTGTGTGTAACGTATTGAAAATTTTAAAAAAGCATAAAGTTCTATTAAGTAATTTCTTTTCTGTTATATAATAGATTTGCTAAATTCTATAAATTATTTTGAGTTTTATTTTGTTTTATATGCTAGAATGTTTTCCATGAGTCGAAATCTTAGCTAAATATTTTACAGCTTCCATAAATAGTTGGTTACTGAATTCATAAACATTCAGTCGCTTTTTATCAATACAAATATTCAGTAGAGATGGTTCAGGTGAAAAAGTGAAACATATTATAGGATACTAGATAAATAAATATTCATTTAGACTCCTGGAAGGTGAAAAATAAATGACATAAATCTATAAAAAATTGTCAGTGTTTTTAACTAGATATACCATGAATTTTTAGAATCACTATGTTTCTTTTTCGAAGCAGGAGGAGTGAATAATGCGCAGGGCCTTCGCCGGGATTCTTATCTGGGAACTTCCGATTACTAGCTAACGCAGCATCCATTTACGCTACGAAGGCACGAGAGAAAAAATAGTTTATATACTCTCCATGGCTGGATATGACGGAACCCAGTCTCCAAACCTTTGTGGCGACGAACTATCGTCCTTTACCTTTTTAGTTCGGGCACCACTTGTAGAGTCATAGATTTTCTGAAGTAGTTTATTTAAATTAATCTGGTTAAAAGGTACAAAAATAACTGCATCTGCTACATTTAAATAGCTTAGTTTATTAATCTGTAGCAGACAGATAAAATATGAAGGGTAAATGTCTTACACACTCGAATGACAAATGGCAACACACTCGAATGGAAAGTGAAATAGTGCACTTATAGTGGACAACATTTAACAAAGCAAAATCGTATTAAGTGATACAATGGAAAATCGTATCTCGAGACTAATAGCTGTTTTGGGCTTATAAATAAAAAATTAATTAAAAATATAAATAAAAGATTTTAGTAAATGTATACAGGGCGTTCCGCAAATGTTGCGACAAACTTCTGGGGAAGGTAGCAGACAGATAAAATCACATCATAAGGATTATGTGTGTGTGTGTGTGATTATGGCAAAGCCTCGAGGGCTATCTGCCTAAAGGGAGGGATGCCTTTCGTGGAGGACTTTCTAAGGGAAACTGGCTCGTATACACGTTACACATGGGGAAAACCACGAAAACGCCCATGCAGCCAGCCCGTTCGGGAATTCGAACCTCGGACCGAACTACCAGTGTTCAGCGACTTTACCGCTCGGCCGCTGGTGGGCCCATCATAAGGATTAAGAATTGTATAAGATCCCATGCCCGGCAATGTCAGGGGTAACTGGTAGCAGAGTAGAAGATGGGAAAGGAAACAAGAGAGTGATTAATTTGAAACTTTTATTGGACATGAATACAAATGGTGTACCACTTACAACAGATGTTCGAAGTTTGCACCATCAGACGCCAAACATGCTTGACACCCTACAGACCATTGATTGCCGGACATGTTCAAACACACCAGGAATTTCTTTGATTGTAGCAGCTGCGCAGGCGAGTCTTGCCACGAGATCCACTTCAGACACAACTGGATCGTGATACACGACACTTTTGAAGACTCCCCACAAAAAGAAATCAAGGCTCAATAAATCCGGTGAGCGTGGGTGCCAGGGAGCCGGTCTACTATGCCCAATCCATCAATGCGTAAATGATCTGTTCAAATAGCTGCGAACATCCAGTAGTCCAAAATGAGCAGGCCCTCCATCATGTTGGAATCACATGTTGCGCCTCACATTTGGTGGAACATCGTCAAGCAAGCCGGGAAGAGCGTGCTCCAGAAAGATCAGACATTTAACCTGGATGGTAATAAGTACAGCCCGACTAAGCAGTCGCCTACCAATTCAATTAGGGCGGTAGGCGACTAAGCCTACAGCCCCAATTGGTAGGCGACAAATTAACTTTGAAGCTATGTTGTGCCGCGTGGTACCGCACACCGTGGGGGTTTCCTTGAGCACAAAAATGCTGATCTATTGAATGTGGCCTTGTCCGTAAACAACAAATAAGCTGGGAAATTAACATCATGGGCACTTTCTTGCAGAAACCACGTTGCGAAACGCCCACGTTCAGAATGGTCATCAGGGAACAGTAACTGAACACTTTGGAGACGAAAGACGTGGAAGGACTCGGCGCTCAAGACACACTAGACACTGGTACAAGACATTCTTAATTGACAGGCAATGACATGTATGCTGGTCCTTGAATAACTCTCCACCGATATGTTGATGTTGAAGTGAAATGTATTATGTTTCTGATATGGCGAAAGTGGCAGGGCGAGTGGAAGATAAATGCCTTAGCAGCGTAACGTAACGGCCTACAAAATTAGAGAAACTTTGTTTGCTATGGAATTTTTAATGTTAAATCTCTTGTCTTCGAAATGCGTGAAATTTTTCTATGAAGGACGTTACAGTGAACTCTCTGGTGGTAACCACTTCCCAAAGACAAACAACCACCTCTCAAAACGACTAGCACTTCCGAAAACGTAAATCGACACTGATATTAAATACAACCTCTCTAAGACGACCTCCTCCAGAGAAAGCTAACAACGTCTATAATCGTGAGGG